ATTAAAACTGATTAAGACAACATATTCAATAAAGCTGACATGAGAAGTCATCTGGGAAGGCCTGTTGGAAGAGATGCTTTTTTAACTCCTTCTCTAAGGTGGGAATTTAGGAAATCAGACACATCTCTCTCAGCAAGCCATTCCACAGCTTAAGGGCAACCACTGAAAAAGTCCTCAGGGTAGTTGATGTTAATCTTGCAGAAGAAACTTCAGAAGATGATCCTCAGAAGACCTTAGCTGGTGTTGACCAAAAGGTCCATGTCCTGGTGTGTGTATGCCCAACATACACAATAGGGGAAGGTTTTCTTTTAAAGGATTTATTCTCGAGAATAACCAGCTACCAACTAATAGTTCCGGATGGGGCACCTGAGCAGGCTTTGGTTGGTCCATTTATACATTGATCATTAAAGGGTTACAAGTAACACAGTTAACATTTTCTGATGGGTTGCAGAAGTTAAAAGTTGCAATGGTGTGATCTTTCCCACTTGCATACCAAAGAAGATGCTCCGAAGGAGAGGAGAGGATGGTGTGCTATTACATAGACGAGGAGGAGGATGGATGGGCTGGTGTGAATCGCCCTTTGTCTGAACTGCCGTTATCTGTCCAGTGCCAACTAGCTTTCTCTGGACCGGTGCCTGCTCAGTGTCGGCTTCATTTCAAGGATGCATGCATGCTGATTTTAGAAAAGAGGGTTTTTCTCTGGCCTGCTTATGTGTCAATGAATGCAAGATTATACCTGTGTAAGTTATACCTATTGATTTGTACATCACTGGCAAGGCAGACTGTATAGGCAAAAGCTTTCCTGAAGCTATGTTGGGCCCAAGCCATAAAGGGCCTTAAAGGTACAACACCTTGTATTGTATCCAGAAATGACAACCAGTGCAAAGACTTTGTATTGTATCCAGAAATGTCAACCAGTGCAAAGACTTTGAAATAGGCAATATGCAGTCATGCCACGATGTCCCAGAGACCAACTGGCTGCCATGTTTTGTACTAATTGCAGTTCCTGGAGTAAGCACAAGAGGAGTCCTGCATATAGCACACTGCAGAAATTGAGCCTAGAAGTTGCCACTGCATGCACTACTGTTTTCAGGTCATTCTCTTCCAGGAAGGGAAACAGTTGGCGAATCAGCCAAAGCTGAGAGCAGACCCTCTTGACTGTGGCTTCCACCCCAGCTGACATCTGAAAGGCCAGGTCGAGTTTTGGCCAAGTCAAAAGTGATGTGTGTCTCACTTCCTGCTCAGAGGCGCACTGGCCATGTGGGGAAGGGCAGCTGGCAAGTCAACTGTGGAAAGGGCCTAGGAAGGCATCTCAGGAAAACAACCACTGGGGCTGGGTATGGACTTGGGGCTTCTGCTTGGCCACTGATGGAGACAAGTCAATCATTGCCAAGTACTTAATTAGCAGTGGTGCTTTGGGTGTCACATCTAAGGCACTGAGTCTCAACAGCTTACCTTTTTGAGCAGCACAAATTCATTTTCTGCTGTGGTCCGCCTCTTGAATTCCTCTTCATATCTGTTGAAACATGAAAGAATAGTTCTGTGCAACTCGATATCAGTGCGGTCTACCAGGCTGAGGGCTGGACTGGGACTGAGGAGATCTGGGATATGGTCCCCAGTCAGCCCAGTAGCTTCCTTTCGGTCAGTCATGGACTCTCAGCCTCACCTACTTCACAGGGTTGTTTGATGAGGAGAAAGAGAGAGACCAAGGTAAGCCACCTTTGGACACTTGCAATCAAAAAGGAGGGATATAAGTATAATCAATCAGACAATCAGTCAGTAAAAACACCTTGCCCTACATACAGCATAGATAAGGTGGAAGGATGTCTTATTTTGCAAAGGGGACTCCACTTCTGAAGGACTGTCCAATCTGAGTCCAGTTAAAAGGCTAAGGTATCTGAAGCAAATGCATTGTACACGACACATTACTTTTATCTTCTCATTCCTTAAATAATATTCTCTGTCTCCAGATCAAAGGAAACAGAAGACAACATAAAACACAGAAAAGGGTGACTGAGGTACTACAAGAAAACGATAGATTTCCATGTTTCCCTCCTCTTTTTAATTGAGGTTTCTTTTTTTCTACTGAACTTGAAATAGGAAGGTGCAAAGTTTGGTTTGGTTTTGGAACCAGAGTACAAATGGAGTTACCCAACCCATTGTATTGTACCATGTGCCAATGGAAGACTAAAGAATCTCTTTAGCCTCAGGGTGCATTTGCTGAATAAGAGTAAGACTAAGACTAAGAGTGAGAGAATAGGTATAGGAATAATTACTTGCTCTTGAATTCTTCTACCACATGCTGAGTGGCAGCATTTTTGTTTTCCAAGTGTTCTTTTTCACTTAATAAACGCTCCAATTCATTCTTCATTCTAGAGATGAAATTCTCATAGAATGGCTCAAGATCTTTTCTTGCCGGAATGACATGCTGTTGCAAGAGGTTCCACTTTGTTTCGAGAACTTTGTTCTCTTGCTCTAAGGTTCTCACCTGTGTAGTGGACAAGGAGGAAAAATACATCTAATTAAGAAACAAGGTCAGGAGCAAATCTGTTTCCAGAATTAGTGGAATTAGTTTTGTATGTCTGACTTAAGAGCTCCAGAAGAACCTGCTGGATCAGACAAAAGGCCTATCTAGTCTAACAACCGGCCTGATGTCTGAGGGAAGCCCACAAGGAGGGCAAGATGATTTGTCCCAGCAAATCGTTCTCAAATTTTCCCTACTCTGATCATAGAGGAAGCATGGAGACATCATGTCTACTAGCCACGGATAAATACCCTTGTTCTCCATGCATCTGCCTAGTCGCCCATCTTCTGCTAGTGAGCAAGGTTGGTGATGGGTCCTCTGGGGACTTAACTGTACCCACCATGTGCAGATGGTGTCTTAGGTAACTGATACATATTCTGGCCTCCGATTTGTGCATTGGCAAGAACATGTTTGTTCCCCGCATGACAAACATGTTTTTTCTACACCAAGATAGATAAAAACATAACATATGAAGCAACAATGAGAAGCCATAAAGTTAGGAATCTCTGATAAGGCCCTAGGGACTGGCTGCACTTGCTTGTTATCTTTGTCTGCTTATTTATGTGCGTATTTTTATATGTCCCAATAGTCGAGGTTCTCTGGACGGTTAACAAAACCATACAATAAGCAATTAGACCTACTCATTTTTGAATGCATAGGGTGGAATCCAATTAGTTTTTTCCACTGATGGAAATGGTTCCATGAGAAGGTCAGGGGGGAAGGATGGTTCCCACAATGCTCCAGAAGGCTGGGGACCATAAAGCAGTTTTTAAGGAAATGGGGCTGCATGGGGATGAGTAGATGATGGAGGCCCACCATGTGGGTGGCCTTCCATTCACACAACATTGCCTTTCACCCAATATATAACAAATTAGGCCAAAGGAACAGCTCTCAAGTCATCTCCATTTGCTGCAGAGTTTCCAGATAGCATTAAATGCCTGATCCTGTCTAATCTTGGCTGATAAGCAGAGACTGGTCTGGTTAGAATCTGGATGGGAGACTAGAGGCCTGCACTGAGCAGGGGGTTGAATCTGATGCCTTCTAGGCCCCTTCCAACTGTATGTTTCTAAGTCCGATGTTTTGCAGAAATCCAGCACTATTTACTTGCATTTAAATAGTTCCATTCATAAAATAAGCAACAATCTCCCCAAAGCCAAGTGCCTTAAACAGAATTTCCACTGAACTATTGCCTATACCAAAATGCATTGTACTTAAAATTTAAAGTAGAGGAAGGAAGGAAGGAAGGAAGGAAGGAAGGAAGGAAGGAAGGAAGGAAGGAAGGAAGGAGAGAAGGATCCACTGCATTATGAGCAAAAGCACAGCTTAAGGGGTTTAGGGAAGACTAAGACTTAGGGAACACTCTTTGTGGTGGTTCCTAATCTGTTCTGAAAACAAGGCATGCTATTTTTTAATGTTGCTTTGAAGATCAATTTCAAAAAGACTTCAATTTTTGAAGGGAATTAAATTCCTTCATGCTAAAAATAAACCCTTCATTGAAAAAAATTGTCAATAAATTCTAAATTGGTCATGTAACTTATCCACTTTTTCAAACCTGAGGGTGGGGACACCCTCCTATGCACCCCAGAGGGCATTGCAGGGGCCTTGTGAGAGTGACAACCTCCCAGTCTAGAGATGAAAAGGGAGGGCTGCTCACAGAGGTCCTCCATTGGTGGTGGTGAGGCTTTCCATCAGCACAGCTGGCCAGCATGGGCAGTGGGGATGAAGATGGGGCTTGGAGGCTCTGTGAAGGCAAGCAAAGCCTTGCAGGATTCTAGGCCTCTTCGTACACTGACACACGCCAAATGGAACCAGGGGTGATGCCAGTTTGGAAGACAACATCATCTCCTGCAGAGGACAATTATAGAGGGAGGAAAAAAATGGCCATTCCACCTTCCAGTCTGCCAGGGAAAGTCAGCAAAGTTGAGGAAATGGCCATCTCTCTTCCAGCTTTAGGACTGATCTGCCCATCACACTGATGTTCCATTGAAAGCAATTTGAGCAAGTCAGTTGTGACTTATGTAAATATCATTGATTCCAGTGGGATTCAAACACAACTAGATTTAAAGAGGATTAGGGCTTTTGTTCCATTTCAATAACTCTTGAAATTCAACGTTATCCAATTCTGAGAGTGTGGCAAAACAAAACAAAACAAAACAAAACAAAACAAAACAAAACAAAACAAAACAAAACCTGATTTAGGAAAATATAAATTTGATTCTTTTAAAATGTGCAGCTTTAGAAATAGCACTCATTTTGAAGCAGGTGCTCGAGAGAGTTTTCTCTTTGTATCTATTTCAGCTTTACTGTGTGTGCCTAAGTCCTGGTCTGGACCCCCGTACCATGCAGCGCCTCCTGATCCATGGCACTGAGATGCAGAACCAGGTTTACATTCCTTCATGCCAAAAGCCCTTGATGTACATCCCGGGATGGTCCACCTGTCTGTGTCAAGTTCAGCAGAAAACATTTGCTTTCTCACCTTGTCAATGAAGCAAGCAAACTGGTTGTTGAGGTCCTTCATCTCCTCCTTCTCATGAGTGCGTACCTCGTGCTCCTGTGGGTCCACCCCCACACGTAAAGGCTTCAGGAGCTTCTTGTTCGTCTGGACCCCACGGATGCCATCCCACCTGAAGTTTGCATGTCCGCCAACGGGCCCCTGACCACCAACAGAGCCATGCATTCTAGGGCCAAACTGACCCACCCCACCACCAAACCCCAGGCTACCATAGCCTCCTTGAGCATAGCCATGACCACCATAATATCCGGCACCATAGCCACCACGGGAAATCCTTTTGCTTCCACCCAGGTTGGAAAGGCTTAGACTACTGAAGCCCGGAAGCCCATATCCGTTTCTGACCAGAGGGCGTACTGAGGCAGCATAGCTTCTGGGCCTGCCTAGTCCGTATATCGCAGATGAACTGAATCCCCTTCCTCCCATGAACGTTCGGGCTGCAGACATCTGGTGAGTCATTGTGACCAACTGGGATGGATACGTTTCAAGAAAGCAGGTGCAGTGGAGACAAACTCTTATATAGTGTGGAGGAGTAGCCTTGATTGGTGTAGCATTCAGCATTTAATTGAAATGCTTGCAGAGGTTTGGCCTGCCTCGGGCTTTTGACACAGAAACCATAATAGCAAATGCAGACTTAAGAGAAATAATTCAATGTCTTTAAGGAAAAACTTTATTTGCAAGCTTGCTTGCAGAGTATTATGTCTGAACATTGTTTCCCTGCTGGCATTAATTACAGGCAGAAAGCTATTTCAGGAAATGTCCTCTTTCATTGATCACACACACAGATGTGCGGAAGGCAGAGTGTTCTGCCGAGTTGCAAGCTAAAGCTGTCATTGAGGGAGCTTCAGCGTCTGGTCACCCTGTGGAACATGAGCATTTTCTGTCATTTTGCCATCCCCGTTAACAACAATGACTGCTTCCAAACCGTGTGTATAGAAATAGGCAGTGCTTTTTTTGTAAGAAAAAAGGTGCCGGAACTCATGAAATTATTTACCTTTCGCATGTAGTCAATCGTTGTACACACACCCACACACTTCAGTTGTGTAACGAAACGTAACGGTTGCCACCCACAGTAAGCACTCAGTGCGCGACCACATGACCAATCACAAGCTGAGCAGCGCCATCACAACCAGCACAGACAAAGTGCGCATGCATCGGATTCGACACACAAGCAGCCCGCATGCACCGCTTTAAAGATTTTGCCGCCGACCTGCTACGCTCAACAGGGCGATTCAAATCCAGGTGGACCAAACATCAAATTTTCAAAAGTTACTTTTAAAACTTGGAAAATCTGTTGAAAAAAGGTGCCGGAACTCCGTTCCAGTGCATTCTATGACAAAAAAAGCGCTGGAAATAGGAAGCAAAGAGGTGACACGGCATGTACCTGCGTTCACCCATATGCACCCCCTGCTTGCATGCACCTGTGTTGTTTGCGTGACTGTAGTTTCTAATAACACAAAGAACACGTAGCATGGCAGGAAATATTTGCCTTGGTCCAGACACACATTTCTCTCTGCGTGTGCATGTGCACACCCACACGTGCACGCGTGTGCGCCATTCTATTGCTAGTGCCTTGGGAAAAGCATGTAAACCAATGAACGCTGTTGGATCAATACTCTGCATGTGTGGGGTGTTTAACCAGAATTCAGGAGCTTGTGTTGCATCAGCAACAAGATTGCTTGTTGCACATCTTACCATATTGGTAAGACAGAGGGAAGGAATGTATGAAGGAACTGAACCTAGGCTCTCCAAGCAGTTCACATAAAAACGTTAGTTTAGGAATCCTGGGATTGGATCCAGAATCTGCTTCCTGGGAGAAGGAGGGACTTTCCTCAAGAAGGAGGACTTCACTTATGCCGGGTCCCTCCACCCAATGTTTGAGGATACCCTTTTAGCTCATTCAACAGGATCTCCTACTTATCTCTGCCCGGGGAGCTGTGTGGCTGGTGAGGTGGGTTAGAAATCCATCAAACAAACAAACAAATGATCTGTTTAATTCCACCACCCATAAAGCTTTGGCTATGGGGTAGCATGGAAATAAATGAATGAATGAATTGTATTTTCAGGGACCTGAAGGGACTGCCCTTGAGGAATGAGTGGGGAATGAATCCACTTTCATCAGCACAGTTGATGCAGTTTAAATCTTGATCCAACTCCTAATTAAACCATAGTTTGGGGGGAGCTAGAATCAGATCTACTGCTACCCGCAGTAGAATTTTATTTATTTATTTATTTTAGTTATTTATTTAAAACATTTTTATGCTGCCCGCATCACAACAAAGCCTCGGGGCGGCTCACAAAAATACATAAAAACATACATAAATAATAATAATATAATAATTTAAAAGAAAAAAACATTTAAAAACCCCCGGTGCATTCTCGGCTAATTTTAAAATCCTAATTAAATCCTAATTTTAGAAATCAGTGGTGTTTAAGTGAAGCTTAAGTTAATCACGAGTTAATCAATAGTTCTCCTATAAGTTCCACCGGATTTGGATACCTCCTGTGGTGTGGTATGCAGGACATATTAAGTCAGCCTTCTCCAACCTTGCGCCTTCCAAGCACGTTAGGGCTGCAACACCCAGAATTCCCAGTTAATGGTCCCACTGGATGGAAATTCTGGAATTTGCAGTCCAAAAGTTTCTGAAGGTCACCAGGTTAGGGAAGGAGGCACTTAGTCATTCCTAAGTATTCCCTTCCTACCTCCGACATCTTCGTGGAAAGAACAGGTGAGCATAATTCCCCTGGTTCTCTTAATTCGTTTCACATGGGGTTGAATTAATTGCGTGAAATCTGCTTCAGAAAAAATTGTGCTGCATGCGCAGTCACAGCAAACCCTAAGGTGACAAATCAGTGTGTCATCACAGACTTGAAAGAAGGGGAAATTTAAACACAGGGCAGTCCCCCATACCCACCCTTCTGCCGTCTTTGGAGTGGTGTGACAGCTCACTCCTCCGGGTGCGGATTTCTAATTAAGCTGAGGACAGGAGGTGGCAAAGGAAAGGGCACAGCCTTTCTTTTGATGTTGAGTTATGCCCAGAAATGCAATCTTGTTTTGCAGGAGAACACAAGAAACCTTTGGGGAGATTATGTCTTGATGGTGGAGATTGTACGTGGAATTGCTGCGCACAGACCTTATTTGTCCTTTTCTCACAGAGAGTGGTCAAAGAGTCACCTGCTCGCTAGCATCAGGTGCCCTCAGCACTGCCATCATGGGCTAACCGTCAACATCTGGATTACAGGGTCCACTGAACCACTTGGCTTGGCAAGGTGCCAAAGTCCCTGTCATTTGGGGATGCCTCCTGAGCATTAGCAGAAGATCAGGCACATCGGAAAATTAAAATGAACAAGCCCCCCATGATAATGAGAGTTGAAAAGAGGTGGGAAAATGAATGATGAATGGAACCTGTTAATAAGTTTCTATGAAATCATTTTTATTATGAGCTGGGTCAATCTGTAGCAAAGAAGAAGAAGAAAACAGTCACCAAGATGCAAAGCAAAGAAAATAGAGACAAGCCAAGTGGTCCTACCAGGTAGCTGGCAGAGATCCCAAGCAGATGAAATGAGCATTCTGCACCCATCTCTAGGGATGCGAGAGAAATCTTGCTTGCATCTTGCCGAAATGTTGTGCTGCCAAAGGAAGATGTAAAGGAAAATTCAGTTCTCCTTCAAAAGTTGCATTTTTCTGGATTTTGCAACAGCTTCCAGTATTAAAAATATATAGAATGATATATTCAAAAATGTATGTTGAAGACAAATGCAAACAGAAAAGCATAGCTGCTTAAAGGTGAAACTAGTGTTCAAAGCTGCCTTGTGTTAGGGTAAAAATAATTACAAACTCTGTACATTAGGGATGAAGACAGACTGCAAAGTGCTTGAATTTGCATACTAACTTTTAAAAAAAAAACCTCAAAGTTTGGGATGAACCCATCTCAAGCTCAGAAAAATCATCTCCCTGTTCTGTTCTGATGTTGTTTGTTTTGGCACTGGATGATGTTGTTTTTACAAAATCCTCCCTAACTTTAGGAACCAGGTACATAAGAGCACCCACATTATGTATGGCAGACAAGCTTTTAGACTTGCTATAGACATTATAAGGTCAAAATGCTTTAATAAAAGACTCGTTGAAGAGTGGGATGGGGTATGTGTGGAATGAAGCAGCCCTATATTAACAGATTCACCTGGTGGTAAATGCATTATTATTTTGCGTCAGATTATTTGTACACACAAATCATCCTTTTGGCAGCAATCAAAGAGAAGGAGAGAAGAATCAGATAGCATGAGTCCAGTGAGGAAGTCCAAGATATTCTAGTTTGCAACTTCACTTAGATACTTAAAAAGAACAGGTGGAAATCAGATTGTGCATAAATGTGGACCTACACTCATTGAGGGAAAGATCAACCTTCAAATGATCCATAAAACTGTGCAGATCTACACCTATTTGTAAATAATAACATTTCCCTCATATAACAGCATGAGCTCATTTGCTGAGGGTCAGTGTATGGGTGATGCCACAAACGTGACCCTGGTTAAATTCAGGGATGCACCTGCAGAATTTGATTTCCATATGATCCATCGGTGCAGTAACCCCTATGATGCCCCACAGAAGTTTCCCAAAACTGTGCAACCACAACAGTAATATCTCTCATTCAGTCCCCTTGGCTGAGCTGCTATAATGATAGGGAATGTTCATGAACTGTTGAGGGAACGAGGCTATCAGAAATGGTTCAGGATTCACAGCTGGTCCAACTTCTGTGAGAATAATGAGATGTTGCAATGGGATATTTTGAATGGACAATGGAACAGAATGAAATTTAGACTCTTACAAATGGCAGCCAAACTTATTTTTCATCCTAGGAAGCAAGGCGAAACGTGAGCTGAGGCAGAAGTCAGCTTTCCCTGCTGCAACGACTGATGAATGTTAGGAGGTGGAGCCAGTGACCATCCAGATGCTGATGAACTACTATTCCCATGATCATTCCTCATTGTCCAGGCTGGCTAGGGCTGATAGGAATTGGATTCCAACACCATCTGCTGGGCTGCAAGTTCTCCAGCTCTGGTTTATGCCAATTTTACTATTAGGATTTAACCTGAAGAATCCTGGGAAATGTAATTTGGGGAAGTGCTGGAATGTCTCTTGGAGACTGCCAGACACTCACAGAACTATAACATCCAAAGTTCCCAAACATGGAGGAATAATTCAATGTTGTCACATGTGTGTGTGTGCACCCAACAAAATATTCCTTTAAATGACTCGTTGGAGCGATGCACGCTGCTTTTATTTACTCTGAAGTTAAGCACATGTGGTCCTCCTTTGGACCATGGCACACGGGGAGGCAGTAAACCTCCTCCCACCTCTTTTTGCCCCCAATTCCACCCTTCCTCTGCCAGCACACCATGCTCCCAATACAAAACAGTCCGCTGACGTGCCCTTGAGAATAACTATATGTAGCACTCCT